CGAATGCTCCTCCGAGTATTTTGGGATTATTCACCGTCGGAATTGGTGAGTCATCGCCGTGAATTCCCAGCGGTAGCCTGACCTCCTTCGTCCAGGTAGTGAACAGGGTCACAGAGGATTTCGTAGGGGTGAGGGCTAGACACTTTGCAGCGAAGAAGCGAGAAAGTTCGGAGATACCCGTTTACTTTCGAACACAGCCCAGCAAACATTGAGGGTAGTTATCGATTAGATAATGATTGGAGAACTAGCCACATTCTCCAATCTCAAACGTTTGAGATCGACTCGAAAAACTATCGAAAATCATATCAATCTCAACAAAAATGGGACATAGTTCTCGACTCGAGAAAATATAAATTCTCTAATCGAATTCTAATGTTCATCTCTAATGGGACTCGAATTTGAATTTCAAACTGCTATTTTGCTTTATTAAATAAAACGCTTTGTTTGTAAAATTTTTATTAAATGTATTTGCAATAAAATAATAATGAATTATTTGAACTTAAAAAAAAATTATGATTCATTCATTTGGAATATTGCTTATTTACACTTATTTGAATTTTCGTTGTTTCTCTAATCGTTCTCGAATCGAATTCTAATGTAGTTCTCTAACTTCGTCATCGACTCGAGAACGATTAGAGAAATACCCTAGTTATCTAATGTAGAAATCCAAATTTCTCTAACGTTAGAGACTGTGTTTGCTGGGAGGTCATCAATTCCATTCTCAGTCGCCATGATCGAGCAATCGTCGGCGTATGAGACAATCGAGACTCCCTCAACCACCAGAGAGAGCTTTGAAATGTAAAAGTTAAACAGTAGCGGGGAAAGGACACCCCCCTGTGGAGCCCCCTGTTTTATTTTTCTAAGTTTACTCGATTTGTCTCTAAACATTACCGACGAGTGTCGACCACTCAGATAATTTGCCGACCACCGTTTGAGCCTCTGTGGGAGAGAGAAAGCCTCTATATCTTCTAGTAGCGTGGAATGGCAGACGGTATCAAACGCCTTTGACAAGTCCAACGTTACAAGAATCGTTCTCTCACAGGGACGGTTTCGGTTAAGGCCACGAGTTATCTGAGTGTTTATGGCGTTAAGTGCTGTTGTTGTACTGTGCACTTTACGGAAACCATGCGGATGCTTCGCTGGGGTCAAGTGGTTTGTGAAATACAGGAGCAGCAAGGCCTCGAGTGCCTTCGCTACCGGGGAAAGGATTGTTATCGGCCGATAAGAATCTCCTATGTGGGCAGGTTTCGCCGGTTTGAGCAGTGGGACCACTCTCCCCACCTTCTAGATGTCTGGGATGATGAGAGTGGTCATAGACAAATTGAGGACCTCCGTTAGGTACGCTACCCCCGCAAGACCCAAATGTTTCAGCATCAGCATGCATATTCCGTCGGGACCCATGGTTTTGGAGGCTTTCGCCTTCCCAATGGCCACCTGTACTTCCCCGCAAGTGAAAGCAAGGGGGGCACAGGTTGCTGGCAGTTTGTGCAGCCTTCTGGTCACTCGACGCTTGGCTTTGTCCACCGGAGGATGCAGTATGATGGCTAAAATAGCTCGCGCATCGCTCCGGGTCCGACGAAGCATGGTCGCCGAAAGAAATTTCGACTCTGTCGTCGTGCTTCGTTGGATTGGACATTCATCTTACGGTTGACCAAAGCTTACTCACACCAGAGGTGAAGTTACAGGTCTTTAGATGCTCTTGCCGTTTCTTCCGCTTATGTACGTTGTTGCGTTGGTCCGTTGCATTTGGCTCAGTAAATGGCTAGGCTTACCGTCGCCTAGCTGTATCCCTTGAGTTTGTCCAGCCGGGCCATCGCTGAGTCGCTAAACTTGTTTATGATGGCATTTTTGAGTGTGGTGTACGGTGCGGTTGCTGGTGGGTTGCGCACCAATTC